TTTAAAAAATAAATAATGTTTTGGAACCACTGGTTTAAAGGATTGATGGTGTCACTTCATTTGTCAGTTTACAGTTGTGTGATGGTTGCGTAGTGGTTGCATGCTGGTTGCATGGCATCGGTCAGTATGTGGTTGTTGCATGCATGATGTAGGTGAGTGTTTTCCTGAAATTAGTGTTGGATTGGGATCAGAGCATCACTGTGACTTCAGTAGGTCTCCAACCTAACCATGTATGGCACAGCAATGTGGCACAAAAGGCCCTGCTACATAGTGGTCAAAATGTTAGACTACATGGAGCCTTTAATAGAGTGTATCTTAGATCTGTGTTTAAGGAACCTCTACATCTACCTATTGAGCCCATACTCCATGCCATCATCCCATAAACTGCTTGTCAGAAAATCACACATTGAATGGACAATGTGCGCAAATACATGAACTAAGTAAGCCTGGGTCCGAGCCAGAATGGCCCATGTACATTAACTACTTATTTTTTTATTAGAATACGTTTTTATTTAGGGTTCGGGTTAAGAGTAAGGGTTAAGGGTAGGGTTGATAAAAATCCCTTCTATGATTGGAAAATGCTGTTCTTCCAACCTTTCCATCATTCCAGATAGTGACCTCCGACCTCAGCTATATGCTGCTTGTCATTGGCTGCGTACGTACAGGTCAGTGACACTGAGAAGGTACAGAACATTGGTTAAGCACAGCTTCCTGAAAGCCTGTCCCAGTATGGCCCTGGGTGCTTTATGAATGGAGCCCAGGATAGCTCAGGGCTAAGTAGCTTTGGTCACAGTGTCACTGTTGTGTTAGGTAGACTGAGGTTAGGTTGTGCGCTTCCCAGGTGTATATTTGGGTGTGTCTAATAGGTTAAAGACACCTCCAGTCAAAGAGGACAGGAAGAGATAACAGCACATTGTGCTGCTCTGTTTAATTAATTAATTAGGATCACTGCTCTACACAGAGTGTACAAAACATTAGGAACACCTGCTCTTTCCATGACATAGGCTGACCAGGTGAATTCAGGTGATAGCTGTGATCACTTATTGATGTCCCCTGTTAAATCCACTTAAATCAGTGTAGATGAAGGGGAGGGGACAGGTTAAAGAAGGATTTTTAAGACTTGAGACAATTGAGACATGGATTGTGTATGTGTGCCATTCAGAGGGTGAATGGGCAAGACAAAAGATTTCAGTGCCTTTGGACAAGGTATGGTAGTAGGTGCCAGGCGCACCGGTTTGAGTGTGTCAAGAACTGCAACCCTGCTTGGTTTTTAACGTTGAACAGTTTCCTGTGTGTATGAAGAATGGTCCACCACCCAAAGGACATCCAGCCAACTTGACACAATTGTGGGAAGCATTGGACTCAATATGGGCCAGCATCCCTGTGGAACGCTTTCAACACCTTGTAGAGTCCATGCCCTGACGAATTGAGGCTATTCTGAGAGTGAAAGGGGGTACAACTCAATATTAGGAAGGTGTTCCTAATGTTTTGTACACTCAGTGTATATTCACTGTTACTGTTGGATGGACTCCGTACAGTACTGAGCACTGGGCTATGTTTGAACCTCAGGCTAACGCCAAGCCAAGTTCTGCAGAATTAGATAACTTGCTGTGAATTGTGTGTAAAGATGGATGCCTTTCCTATGACTGATAGATCTGTGAATAACGAAATGGTGGCCTTAATTACTATGTAGTAGCCTATTTTGTGTTTATCGTTAATAATGCGTAGTATGCAGTTAGTATCGGATCTTAATATCATGTGGTGAGCCTTTTTGTCTTTCCTATGAAACCACACACCCCTACTTCATATTCTATTTTTCTCAATGTGTAAGGCTCTAGTGTGTCTCTCTCTAACTTTCTATCTCTGTTTGGTATTAATCCCTACACCCTGCTGGCAGGATTAAGACATTCTTTAACAGTGGCCTCCACCCTCTCTCTCCCTCTTTCCCTCCATGTATCCAACCCTATCTCTTTCCCTCTATGTATCCCACCCTTCCTCTCTCCCTCTTTTCCTCCCAGGTAGGGTGTGTAAAAGAGGGCACACGCATAAATCACCCCAGCTCAGCACACAGCCTGTACACAGCGGGGGTCAGATTTCTGTCGTCTGTGACTGTGTGTGGAATGTAAGATGTGGGGTGGGTCGAGGTGTGTGAATGAAATCAGTGTGTGAAGCGTTATGGCTGCATGTAGGGGTAAGTCTGTTTTTGAGTTGTTTGAGATCTGTGTGTATATGATGTCTTGGATATGTGGATGAGTGTTGACCAGACAACACTGTTCCATTCTTCCCCCAGAAGTACTGAGACTGCAACACACAATCCCCTGTATGTGTGAAGGCCTTTTCTGCTGCACATAGTAGGCCAGCCAGAGTGCTCATCCACATCCTTGTTGTGTTATGGTTTGGTTTGCATTCAAATGAATATAGAAACTAGGATGTCTATGGTTATATAGTTCATGTTCTGGATTTCAACAAGAACGAAACCCTCCCTAGGCCTTGTGTCTTCTTATGAGATAAACTGTGCTCTCATAGCTTTAGGCTTACTTTAGGGACTCATAAGGAGAATGTGCAATCCTCTCTCCCCTGGAATGTCAAGTCCATATTCACAGATTCTAGCTCCCTGAGGCAAGCCTGCGCAGCCAAAACTTTTCCAACAGTCTTGAAGGAGTTCCCACATATGCTGAGCACTTGTTGGCTGCTTTTCCTTCACTCTGCGGTCCAACTCATCCCTAACCATCTCAATTTGGTTGAGGTCGGGGGATTGTGAAGGCCAGGTCATCTGATGCAGCATTACATCATTATTCTTCTTGGTAAAATAGCCTTTACACAGCCTGGAGGTGTGTTGGGTCATTGTCCTTTTGAAAAACAAATGATAGTCCCACTAAGCCCACACGAGATGGGATGGAGTATCGCTGCAGAATGCTGTGGTAGCCATGTTGGTTAAGTGTGCCTTGAATTCTAAATAAATCACAGAGAGTGTCACCAGCAAAGCATCCCCACACCCTAATACCACCTCCTCCATGCTTTACGGTGGGAAATACACATGTAGAGATCATCCGTTCACCCACACCGCGTCTCACAAACAAAAACTTTTGACCGGTAGTGTATATTTATTTGATTTCAAGCTATAGTTTGGTATAGTTAAGACGCCACTGTTTCAGCAGCACTGAACAAATATCAGCCTGTGATGGCTGATGCGTGTGACGAGCTTATCTCTGGTGCAAAATGGCTGCCATGGCATCACCCAGTTGCTTGCTACACACGGATAATGGATATGGTGTGTTTCTTTGTCCCATACAATAGAAAGTGCTTGGAGCATCTGGAAAAGCGCTATTTAAAATGAACCCCTTAATTGAGTTGATGGATATCTCCTACTTCAGACTCAAAAAATCTAAAGGTTCTCCTTCCAGCTCTTATTTCAGAGGAGGTGTAGTTTTGGGTCAGGGAGAAGCCACCTCACCAGGCACTAGCCTATAGTATCGTTTCTAAGTCTGTGAATACGAGGAAGTGATCAGTTGAATCCGTGCTCTGGGTCTGATGGTGTGTTTGTGCTGTCTTTGATAGAAAGGGTGGTAATGTTATCTTGGTTTATCATGGTGGCATGAGTAGAAAAAACCCTATCTCCAGTAATGGTTGTCATAAGGTGTGTAGGGCACAGGGCAGGCTAATGTCTGACTTAGTGTAAACAAGTCAAGGACTCTGGATGGACAGTCTACGGCAGTGTTTCCCAAACCTCTCCTCAGCTGATTTGACTCATGAGAGGCTTGATGATTAGGTGACCATTTGAATCAGCTGTGCTAGTTATGGAATACATCAAGTACTGGCTGAGGATACTGAAGGAGGTTTGGTAAATACCGGTCTAAGGTCTCTGATTTGATTTTTCTAACATTATTTTCATGAGGACATTAACGAAACAAGTACATGTTATTATCCATCTTGCCCGTCAATTCACTTACCCACTTTTTGCTTACAGTCAACAGGTATTTTGTGAGGCTACACACAACAGGTATTCTCCTAATTCCTGGAGCACTAATAAAATGAGCAAATGCATCTCTATCAAAAATGGTTTGAGGCATGGTGCAAGGAGCACTTCCCTCATGTGAAATGGGTTAGTGTCTGACTCATCTATGGTCTGAGGGGCCTGTGTTCCTGGGACATATACAAAACATGTGCTGGAAGAGCGCTGAATGCATCTGTTTACTTTTTGTAATTGTGTATTCTTAACTGGTTTGGGTAAACCCTGTGTGGACTGGAGCGTTATTCTTGTCTTGTGTGGGGCTGTGCTAATAGTAACCGCCAGGGGGCGGCATGTTGACGTGCAGACTTTGTATACAATTCAAATATGTTCAGTTTTTGCACCTACAACGGTCTTGAAAGGATTTTTTCTACTATGTGAATGATTTAATTAGTTTTTGTTGATAATATCCACTTTCATCGCGTTTACAGTCATTTTGGTAGTTGTAAATGTACCAAATACGTCAGTTTGCATTGTCACCTTTCTCGTGTATAATTCCTGGCATTCAGACAATTCTTGGTAGCCTGATTCTCGATAAGTAAACATGTCTCTTCTTTGTGTCTTTGAAGTACTGTTGTGTTCCTCCCCATCTCATCCGGTTTTTCCCAGTTTCGGCATACTCTAAATAATTTATGAAAATTAAGTCGGCTGAGCGGTAGGTAGGGGCGTTCCTACATAGATTATGCAAATATCAGTATCCCTCCACCAATGGGGTGCATCGGAGTGCTGTTTTTCTTAGATGCATTATGCAAATCTCCCCGGGCTGCAGGCTTTCAACCGAGCGTAGATGAGTTGACCTTGGAGATTCTTTGTGCTGCAGCGGTAGATAGATGTTCAGGCTTCCAGGGATACGAGGCTTTTCTGAAGGGATACAAAGTGCCTGCTAACGCCTCCGAACCACGGAACTAAAGAATGTGATTTGTGAAACACGATAATCGTCGAGAGAGGAGTTTTTCGTTGCTTAAAGCTTGGTTTATATCTGTGAAATAGCATGAATAGTCCGTACTATACAACAGTGGCGATGGATCTCGGTGTTTGCCAGTTAAGGAATTTTTCTATCTCGTTTTTATCTTCGTTACTGAGCACGGATAGTTCACCTGTCAGGCTCGACAATAGGTAAATATATTTTCTGAGAAGGACATTGTGCTGCAAGGAGGATTACTATTGTTGGCAGCTAATATTCTTTCTTTATTCCCGAAAGAAGCGCTGCTTTATACACTGATTATTCAACACTGAGTCTATGTATTATAGAGAACTTGATTATTAAATGTATAGCCAAATGCCTTTGTATGACATTAATGCTGAGGCTGCCATTTTGATTGGGCTCAGTGAGAGAGAAAATGCACTTGTCGTGATGGGGCATCACTAGGTTGGCATTGCTTACTGCTGGCCCAGGAAATGCTGTAGCTGAACCCCTTAGTTGATTTACACTGATGACAGTAAAATTACATGTACGGCTTATTTGTGGCATTTGAGAGGAATATTGTCTACGGTCTTTTTAATACACCCTGAACACTTGGCTCTAGAATGGTCTTTAGTCGAAGTGACGTCACCTATATAAGGATATTTATACTGTATTTCATTGTATTGAAATGGCTGGTGTTAGACCTGCAACATCGACAGTACATTCTTACCGATGCAGTGTATTAAGACTTTTTTCTTTTCATTCTTCCAGTTCGTCAGGAGCCAGTGTGGTGGCCATAGACAACAAAATCGAACAGGCAATGGTAAGTTTATACATTCTAAAACTCACTTTTCTTATCTGCAATCTATACTACACAAATCACATGCAAATATAACTTATTTCGAAGAATACATTCGGAGAATGATCAGTTAAAAGAAAAGGTTGCTTCAGTTTGCTCAATGAATGGATTACATAACCACGTAACCACCTAGAACTGGGAAGTCACGCAATATACTGCCTTTTGCTGATTCTCTTTCTAAACGCTACTGGAGTTGAAAAACCTCGGATCACTCTCGATTTGCTCGTTACTTTGTAACCAATTTAATTTGGTGTTGTTACATAGATCGAGAATAGCTTGATGCTCTGGCAACAATGTAGCAGCATATGGTGTTATTATGCGCCCAGATGTCAATGTAATATTTTGTTTGCTAAAGTGTATTTATGGGGGCCTAGGCGTTAGCCAAGTTTGTCATCACTCAGTCGTATCATAATTACATGCAATTTCACATCCATATTACCATGGTAGCACATGGGCCATATGTAAATTATAATATGCCATTTAGCAGACGCTTTTATCCAAAGCGACTTAGTCATGTGTGCATACATTTTTACGTTTGGGTGGTCCCGGGGATCGAACCCACTACCCTGGCGTTACAAGCGCCATGCTCTACCAATTGAGCTACAGAGGACCACATAAATGTATGTAATAATATTACTATAATAATACATGTATGTCATGTGTAGTATCCACTTTTGTAAAACATTGTTTCGATTTCTACCTGAAGCTACCGTTTATTTAAATAGACACGTTGACACAGGGAAAACGAGATGAGCGTGCGTGCGTGCAGGATTTTATTTTCATATCCTGTGTTCTAGTGTTTTATTGTCCCTGGATCCCTTCCCGCTCAGGACGCTCTCTCACTCGCGCCATACTGTGCTTGCCTTTGTTGCTAGGCAAACAGAACATCTTTGACGCCTGGATATAGGATATAAATATATCAGGCTCTGATAGGCTAAAACGTATATGTGGGCCGGCCATTTTGTCTGTTTGGTGACGTTGCGTCCTCGGCATGGCTTTAAGAGGAAGGGGAGTTTTAGACCCTGGGAATATTTGGCTCAGAATCTACAGAATCTTTCTTTTGATTTTAACCAAATGCTCAGCAGATTGTGTTTAAGATCCACTTCTTATATTAAAACAAACAGAAGCTAGCTACAATAATAAACATATATGTTGTATTACATTGTAATAGTAATTCCCACAGAAAGAGCAGTAGTAATGCTATGCTTACATTATTATCATTGTATCAAGAGTATAATGTATATTTATGGTCTTTTAAAAACATTGTTTTTGTATGTCATTGTTGTCATTTGAGAAGCAGAACACTATCTTTGTCTTCTTTCATATTATATATTTAATTATTGTCATGTTAAAAAAACTCAGCACTAATGTCTCTGTGTTCTGTTTGTTCATCTCTCTGTCCCTTTAGGACCTGGTAAAGAGCCACCTGATGTACGCGGTGAGGGAGGAGGTGGAGGTTCTGAAGGAGCAGATCAAGGAGCTGATTGAGAGGAACTCCCAGCTTGAGCAGGAGAACAGCCTTTTGAAGACACTGGCCAGCCCAGAGCAGATGGCTCAGTTCCAGGCCCAGACCCAGACAGGCTCCCCTCCCACCTCCACACAGCCTCCAGCCCAGGCACCAGCCCTACCCCCGACCCAACCCCAGCCATCACACAACTCTGGACCCTCTGCGTAGCATCACCTCCTACCCCCGGAGAGGGGTAGATGAGGAAGCCTATCAACCAACCAGGGCCTGACTGACTGACAGTCCACAGACAGACTCCTGTTCTAATGCTGCAGAACAAACAGGCCTCCACTGCAGGGGGCTACGCTGTTAAGACAAGAATTTGCACATATTTAACTTTGAGAGCGGCGACGGGTGGTGTCGTCGTTTCAAGACTATTAAAACACACTATCAAAGACAATCTGCATAGGAGAGGAGGGAAAGGGGCTGTAATAGGAGAATTAACATTGCCAAAAAAATGCATGGACTTAGGAGAAAATAAACAAGATTGTCTGACTAAGAAAAACAAAACCAACATAAAAGTGGACATGACTTAGTCACTGTGCCTGTGTCAATGGATTTCAAGTGATGTCGACTTCAGTGGTAACGATGATGGAGGGAGATAGTAACGGCCATGCTTTGCTGAATCCTGATAATGTAAATAAATACAGCGGTTCTCTTCTGCCTGCGCGCTACAGAGCGAGAGAGACAGACAGAGAATAGAGCACCTCTCATGGTGACACTGTGAAAAATCGGAGGATTATCATGGTGTGATAGTCCCCATCTGGCAAGGGGCGAGTGGAGTGGAGGAGGTCAAGAGGGAGAACACAACAACACTTCCTTGGACGTCATCAAACTGTGGGGTTGAAGGGAGTATAGTAGCCTACACTTGCTTATTAAAAGAGAGATGATGATTATGAAATTCTTTCATTATTTAAGTTTCAGCCCCTCAGACTTGCGCCCTGTTAAACCTATCATGGCGGCTTCTCTTCTCATGTAAAGGAGCACAGGGGCTGAGATGTTGGGCTAAGCTGCATTTTCAAAGAGAAGTTGATGGGCGTTCTACATTATGTATATTTCTGTATATTTAGTGTAAGTACTGTGTAATATAGTGACATAAGGAGAGAAGACGGGATGCTATTTAGATTATGTACAAATGGAGAGTGATCTAGGCCTAGTAATGGGCTGGTCTGAAGATTTGTGCCGTCTCTTTAATGCTGTAATTCAGGACTATAGAGAGCTGTGGAGGTTATTTAACTGACAGACAAAAATCCAGTATCCATATCCTCGGCTGCAACATTAACACCTACTGTAAACCATCGTTCACTTTATTTGAAGTATTGCACCCCTTGTGAATTTTTTTTTCTTTTCTTTTCATTTTTTGAAGGTGAATACTTCCGTATGATCAGCTCTTAAACATAACAAACACGTTACTCTGAATATCATAAAGAAAAACTGAAATTGAATTTTTTGCATTCTATGTATAAGTTGTATGCTCATGTTCCATGCATGTTTCCTCAAACCAGATGAGATATTGTAAACATACTTAACACAATTGCACTTGACAGTTTCACTTCACAACTTTCAATAAAAATGTTAAAGGAATAATAATTATCTTGTTCATGCCTCTTCTTGCTCTTCATGCTTACTTCCATATTTCAATAATTCATCTTCATTTACTTCTGTAGTGTAAATAATTAACCTTATTTAACCTGTAGGCCATTTAACATCAACTTCTTACTTACAATGATGACCTGCCAAGTGAACAAAAGTTGAGGTGTTATGAATGAACTTGTGGTCCTCCTTGGCCTACTGGTTGCATGGATACCACATGCCTGTGGGTGAGGTTTATGAAAATAACAAACCAGCCCCTGGTCCCTGATTGGAGGCATGTTATAGCTGCAGGGCGGGATGAGCTCTGCCACATATTGCCATGGCTAGGTTATATTTCAGGAGTGAGTTAGGGAAACCCTGTTGTATAGGATAGGAAACACACACACAGATCTGTGTAGGACAGGCCCAGGCAGTGTTTGCGTTCTCTATCTCCCCGAGACAGAGAAATGCCAGGCCGAGCATTGACCTCATGGTGTTCAGCAGACACTTTGCTGTGGGTTACTGTTGTAATAATCAGACCTGTCTGTCTGCTGGTTACTTATTGCAGAGTCTCTCTCTGTCCTCATACTGTAGCATGCTTCAACACCGCTGTGCCAGGGATGTCAGCAGAATTAAGCAGCAGTTTAACCTTAGTCCCAACCTTAACCATTATGGAGGGGAAATGTAAAACTGACCTTAGTTCAGTGTCTGGGCCAACATCTTCCTACTGTGTACTGAAGAGAGAACATATGAAACAGACAGCAACAGAGCACTGCCTGAGCTCTTCCTCTCTCTCTGCTTTTCACCAGGGTCAGCCTTAGCTAACAGCTGCATAGATTACATGGTCCACAAATCACCCCAACTGAGCATGAACACACCTTGCTCAGGCCGATGATTTCAAGTGAACAAACAGCGATTGTATAACTCCACAACTCACCGCACTGGATAAACGTGTGAACAGCATTCCATTCCTTGAAGAAGGATGGTTAAGGGGAGACAATGTTGAGAGGCTGAGTAACAAGACATTCCCCCTGGTGTCATACAGGTATGTTGGAGAAAGGACATGACAGAATCCTGGTAAATAGTCATGATGCTTTAGCACGTGGAATTGAGACATTAAGACGCCTGACATTCCATGAAGGCGTGGTTCTTTAGTGATAAGTTAACACGCACACACATACACACACACATACCAGGAAACAAAGAGCTAGGAAGCCCCAAATGAACCACACTGTTAGCAAGCTGAATTTGTGCACAACATGCGCTGGGATAGGAGCAGCCAAAGTGGAACTGAAAGCAGACAAACAGACATGTCCCAGACAAGTCACATTTATTTGAAAAAGGTTCTCACACAACACAGATATACACTCACCGGCCTGTTTATTAGGTACTTCCATCTAGTACCGGGTCGGAACCCTGTTCCATCTCATCCAAAATATACTTTATTGGGTTGAGGTCTGGGGACTGTGCAGGCCACTCAAGTAAACTGAACTCGCTGTCATGTTCCAGGCAATGTTTTTCCACTCCTCAATTGTCCAGTGTTGGTGATCGCGTGCCCACTGGAGTCATTTCTTAATGTTTTTAGCTGATAGGAGTGGAACCCAGTTTGGTCGTCTGCTGCAATAGCCCATCCGTGACAAGGATCGACGAGTTGTGCATTCCGAGATGCCATTCTGCACACACCATTCTCGGTAAACCCTAGACACTGTCATGCGTAAAAAGCCCAGGAGGGCGGCCATTTCTGAGATACTGGATCCGGCGCGCCTGGCACCGACGATCATACCACGCTCAAAGTCGCTTAGATCACTCATTTTGCCCATTCTAACGTTCAATCGAACAGTAACTGAATGCCTAGATGCCTGTCTGCCTGCTTTATATAGCAAGCCACGGTCACTGTCTGTAGGAGAGATCCATTTTCGTGAACAGGGTGGTGTACCTAATAAACGGTCTGGTGAGTGTATATAGAAACACAGCAGTATTGCACAACAGCCAGTCACATCATCGACTTCACAAACACACACATACATTCACAGTCTCACACACATATATGAGCAGGTGTAAAACACACTGTACGGGGTTGAGCCAGCCAGTGGTTGTGGTTTAGACTGTCAGTAGAAAAGCTGTCATCTCCACGGCCTGGAACTCTGTAAACGTGATGGAAAACAGAGAGGGGGGAAGGGGGGTGGTCCACTCATCTCTCAGGCCTTCCCTGATGGACACAGAGCTGTCCGGACCTCCAGGCCTCCTGGAGGTGTTAGGGAGGTACGTAGGTTGGTGAGCAGCCCCAGGTCTGATGAGGGAGTGTAGGGAGAGAGGGCAGAGTCTGGTGGGGCCTATGGATCACATTCCCATCCTGATGCTCTGGATGATCTGAAAGATGGCTGAGAGAGAAAGTGGCTGTTGTTACACAAGACAACATCCAGTTAAGCAAAGTAATTTAGCAGAAAACTGAAGTGGTAAACCAATGTTCCCTAGGTGAGTAATATCAAGGCTAATGTGAAACAGAATGTTGAACACTGGATGTTTGGGCCTTACCTGATCCACAAACGACGAAGACGAACAGAGCCAGGAGCCACGGCCCCACAGGGTACTTCTCCTCCTGAGGTCGCTGAGAGGAAGTGGGGAGAGAAAACAACAACAATGTTCAACCACTGAGACATACAGGTCAAACGTCATTCAAATGTCACTATTTATGTAATATGTCTTGTCTTAGGACCCCTTTCGAAACAACAGGATCCTTCGGAATTAAACAGTTGTGATAGGAGTTCTTCCGTTAGTTAACTATTTTAGTTGTAGAGATATGTCATTTTAGGACCTGATAGGGCCTGAACCCCCAGTGAGCATGTTTAGTGTAACAATGGCCAGGAAACCTCCACTGTAGGAGGAGGAAATCTTGAGAGGCATCCTCCTCTGACTGGCCACACACACCAGACATAAGGTCGGACATAAGGTCAGAGTTACTATGAAGGTCAAGGTCGGACAGTTGTTGTTCAAGGGCAGTCAAAACTGGCCAGAATATGCGACTACAGGACACACAGCTTGGTGGAGGAAGACCAACCAGGTTGAACAAACATCCATTGGATGAAGTTTCATACAGTGTTATGACCTTTAGGCCTACATCAACAACACGTGCTGAATAGGACACGTTTCCAACCAGATAAGAGGTTAGTCCAGTCTCAGTCTGACTGTTTTAAACCCTGTCCTCATTACGGTGTGGATGTTTTGTACCCAGTTACACCAGAATAGACTGGATCTAATAATAAACTGAGTTCTGCAGAGTTAGCATTTAGCCCCTCAGACTCAGCTATGAACACATCTAGTTCTTATGGAAAACAGGAGTGGAAACCAAACCACTGATGTAAAAACATTTGATATACAATATGTCTCTGGAAACCCTCAGCCTGCCTGGCTGTCTAGACCAGCAGCATGAGACTCACCATCATAAACTATCACAACCACAAGATGTGGTTTGGTGTGGGTGATGTCATAATACAGTTGGATAGCACCCATGTGCTTTCTGATGGTGTTATGGTATTATTGTGAATGACACAATAGCTATCTAGAATATACAGTGCAAACCCCAAGGATTCCTTTATTCTAATACACACAATGACAACAATCTTTATCCCACAGTGAGCTATTCCATTCAGTGTCACCTTGCACAATGCAGTCATGTTGAAGGCCTGTAAAGATTTCTGGTATAGTTTCATAATTCAAGGTTGTCAGAAGAAAAACGGACATCTTAAGGAACACCAAGAGAACAAATCAGCCAGCCGTAAAAAGGAATCTGTTGGAGGGTGGATAGATTGGGAATCAAATGCTATAACATTACATTCAGCAGTTATGATAATTTAATAAATTATGAACACCTCCCATTTCCCTAAGGCTATAGGCTATTACAGCACAATCATACAAGTGCTTAGTGTACACTATCTAAACCAATACAGGCCAGTGTAACCAATCCACATGAGGAAGTGAAACCTACATTCCAGCGTTACTTAATAATCAGTATCACTACCTGTCCTATATCATCTGTGTGTGTGTGTGTGTGTGTGTGTGTGTGTGTGTGTATTTGTTTAACTATCCTTGTGGGTACCAGAAGTCCTCACATGGATAGTAAAACAAGGAAAATGCTGGGGACATTTTGCTGGTCCCTACGAGGAAAAATGCTATTTTAGGCTTAGGGGTTAGGTTTAGGGTTATAATTAAGGTTAGGTTTAGGGTTAGAGTTAGGGTTAAGATTTAGGGTTAGGGGTTATTAGGGAAAATGGGATTTTGGATGGGAATCAATTATTTGGTCCCCACAAGGATTGCAATACAAAACTGTGTGTGTGTGTGTGTTTGTGTTTGTGACCTGGTCAGGATAGAGATGGACCATAGAGTTCATCAACAACCTTATGCTTTCTTTATGGACTGAACAACCAGATGATGATGCCATCCTTGTTGACAATCTCCACCGTTATCTACGTGGCATTGATCTCTCATTAATTATTGATCAGGAGAATACCGGGCTGTAAACCCTGTGGCAAACCGCGGGTTCAAGATAATAGACCATAAAGGAAACATACAGCCATCAGTAGTGATAAACCAACCAACCAACGGCCCATGAATTACAATGGCCCATGAATTACAATGAATGGAGAATAACTTGAAAACTCATTCATTGCGGCTTGTACGTGTCCTGTGATTGATCAGAATGATTATAAATGAATCATATTAGATAGGCTACAACATGCGGGTTTTTTTATGTGATGAGAGAGATGAGCTGCGTTATCGATACCCAATTAGAACCATAACATTAGATAGGCCTACACAATCAATAATTTATCATTATGAAATGGATGTGTCACATTTATTGAAATCATGCAATTCTTAGTGATGATTAACTGAATCGGTGTCATCATGCTTGCATCTCCTTTCGTCTGATGATGGAACACACACAGCCTGAAGAAAAGCTTCGCCTCACCAGGGTCTTTGCAACGTTGCCTCTCTGCGTGATGTTTTTGCTGTGCTTTTCGTTTGCCATACGGATCCTTTGTTTTGCTACCATTTTCTGAGAATGTTATATTGATGTAAAATTGTTATATGCCGGCGTAATTTTGATGCAGTGATGATGAAGCCGCGAAACCCCACACTCCTCTCTGCACCTGCTGACGTGCGCGCGGACGGAAGTGCGCTTCCATGGTGCGTGGCGCGCGCGAGCCGGTAAAGAGCTTTTTTTCTGCCTCACCTCTCAATCTAACCAGCCATTGGCATTTAGTCAAACTATTTATTCTTTAACATGAAATGCATAAATAGTTCTGCCATTTGCCATAGAAACAGACTTTTAAACTGTAGCCTAACCCTCAGTTGTCACCAATACTCAATCAGTAGGCTAAAGTTATTCTACCTTTCTCAAACAGAAGCTGTTGCCAGGGCCTTGCCTGTGTGCTGCACATGCCTGGAATGTCTGGAGAAACAGCATTATGTGTTTATCTGAAAAATAGCTTACATACAGGACATTGAGTGTGGTGGCCTAGAAAATGGTGCAAAATTAGGTTAGAAACATTTGAGTGACCTGTTTTTTTTTATTTTAAAGACAAAAGTTTAAGTTAGAATTACAACCACCTACGCCACTCATAACTATCAGCTTCTGGGGTTTCTAATACTCACAAAATGATATAATATCTTCAAATGTGATTAGCTTAAGTACCGATAAAGAGAGGAGAGAGAGAGAATAAGAATAAGATGAGAGAGGAGAAGAGAACAGCACTGTAGTCAGCAGTGCTGCACTTGGACCCATGGTGCTGATAAGAGTGGTTGCCTAGCAACTGCATCTAGGGGTGGGCCACCCAGGGTTTCACAGCAGCACTGTGCCTTGGCAGGGAAGACTTCAGACATAGCTGGCCCACCACTTGATTCAGTTGATAGGCAACAGCTCTTTTCAGCACCATGGGTACAATAGCTCAACCCATGGATGGATTCCATTCGCTTTACTTTATTTACATACAATTAATAAACGTCTAATAACATTGTCTTTATCTATTAAAAGTCTGTTACTGTATGTAAGATTTCCAGTAATTTCAACCAATGAAAAATGTGTTCTGTGTGCACAGTGTGTAATGCTGACTTCATGCTCTGTTTTACTAATTGGGTTGTTCTGGTGTTGCACAGCATTGAACATTGTGAGCCCAAACACATGTCATCCAGACAGTTCACTTTGCAACAACCGTTTGGCTCCTCTTGCCCACAGTATCTAGATTCTAGGCCTATATTCAGCCAAACTGCATGCAGTGCAACAACCTCCAATACGAAAACTCAGCTTTGACACGCACAGATGTGTTTGTGTTTATTGTGACTATTCGGTGAGTGTGTGTGGTCTACCTTGCTCCTGTATGTGTTTCACAGCTTTACACCATGTGGAGGGCAGTCTCAGCCCAGCCCAAGGACACACTAGAGGAGGGGAAAAGGACAGGACAGGACAGGGGAAGATGAGAGGAGGGGACAGGGGAAGAGGAGGGGAGGGGACAGGGGAAGATGAGAGGAGGGGACAGGGGAAGAGGAGAGGAGGGACATGGGCAAGAGGTTAGAGAGTGGGCACTGGAGAGATCGAGGTGACTTTTCGTGAATTCCTATGCGGTATGTATGTGTATGGTGTGGTTTCCCGGTAGAGATATGCAGTGTGCCTACTTGAAGATATTTGCAGGTTTCTGCATGGAACGATCTAGACGGATGGACGTTCCATTGGATTTTCCCTGGTACTCACAGTATGGCCTGTACAGAAATATTAGAGGTGCTGGACTAAGGGTACAGTGTTAGATTAAGATTCAACTAGGGGTTGGGACAGTGTGTAACTGATTAGGCGTTTTACATGGGTGTCGGGGAAGATTGAATGGTGACCGAAACTTCATCGAAGTTATGCGATACGTTGGCGGCAAGGGGACAGGGAAGAGAAAGCAGGGACAGGGGAAAATAGAGTGAGGGACAGGTAGATTGAATGGAGGGGGACGGAAAGATCGAGAGGGGGACAGGGGAAAGGGGACAGGGGAAGAGGAGGGGACAGGGGAAGAGGGAGGAGGCAGGGGACAGGGAAAGGGGAGGGGAGATGGGGAGAGGGGGGGACAGGGGAGAGGGGGGACAGGGAAGGGACAGGAGAGCAGGGGGGAAGAGGAGGGGGCAGGGATAGAGGAATGAGGAAGAGAGAGAGGGGGAGAGAGGGGGGGACAGGGAGGGGAAGAAAGGTGTAGAAAAGAGAGAGAGGGTAGGAGAGGAGGGAGCAAGGGAAGATAGAGGAGAAAAGGCAGCAAGGGGAGATGAGAGAGAGAGAGATTGGAGATTGGGGTCCTTCATGCCTGCTCCTATGGGGATCCACTGACAGTAAATCCCTGTCCACTGTAAAACAACTTCACCCTCTGCACTACACCATTTATTTCTAGAGAGAAACAGAGAGAATATCTGACCTAGTTTCAGACCTGTTTATCTCCAACTTACATCTAAACAGGCCATATCTCACTCTCTCTCTCTCTCTCTCTCTCTCTCTCTCTCTCTCTCTCTCTCTCTCTCTCTCTCTCTCTCTCTCTGCGTTTAAGTATTCTGTGTATTTCAGTATTTTCAAATACACAGCCTAAAACAAGTAATTTTATTTCAGTATTTGAATGGTTATTTGTAAAAACCAAATAATCTACCCAATTGTATTGGAGTGTCTTCAAATACATATTTCAAATACTAATTTCAAATACCGGGGTTAAATGCATAGGAGTGTATTTGAGTATTTTCAAATACTTTTTAAGTGTATTTCCAAATACATGGAACAGCAATACATACATCAAATTGGGGTAAGTGCGTGAATTGGACCATTGTTCTGTCCTGCTAGCCATTCAAAATGTAACGAGTAAAAAGTGCATTATTTTCTTTAGGAATGTAGTGAAGTAAAAGTAAAAGCTGTCAAAATAGTACAGATACCCCAAAAAACTACTTAAGTAGTACTTTAAAGTATTTTTTACTTACACTACTGGTCAAAAGTTTTAGAACACCAACTCATTCATGGATTTTTCTTTCTTTTTACTATTTTCTACATTGTAGAATAATAGTGAAGACATCAAAACTATGAAATAACACATATGGAATCATGTAGTAACCAAAAAAGTGTGAAACAAATCAAAATATATTTTATATTTGAGATTCTTCAAATAGCCACCTTTTGCTTTGATGACAGCTTTGCACAATCTTGGCATTCTCTCAACCAGCTTCATGAGGTAGTCACCTGGAATGCATTTCAATTAACAGGTGTGCCTTCTTAAAAGTTAATTAGTGGAATTTCTTTCCTTCTTAATGCGTTTGAGCCAATCAGTTGTGTTGTGACAAGGTAGGGGGGTATACAGAAGATAGCCCTATTTGGTAAAAGAATAAGTCCATATTATGGCAAGAACAGCTCAAATAAGCAAAGAGAAACGACAGTCAATCATTACTTTAAGACATGAAGGTCAGTCAATACGGAACATTTCAAGAACTTTAAAAGTTTCTTCAAGTGCAGTCACAAAAACCATCAAGCACTATGAGGAAACTGGCTCTCATGAGGACTGCCACAGGAATGGAAGACCCAGAGTTACCTCTGCTGCAGAGGATAAGTTCATTAGAGTTACCAGCCTCAGAAATTGCAGCCCAAATAAATGCTTCACAGAGTTCAAGTAACAGACACAACATCAACTGTTCAGAGGAGACTGTGTGAATCAGGCCTTCATGGTTGAATTGCTGCAAAGAAACCACTACTAAAGGACACCAATAACAAGAAGAGACTTACTTGGGCCAAGAAACACAAGTAATGGACATTAGAACGGTGGAAATGTGTCCTTTGGTCTGGAGTCCAAATTTGAGATTTTTGGTTTCAACGGCTGTGTCTTTGTGAGACACGATGTGGGTTAACGGATGATCTCCGCATGTGTATTTCCCACTGTGAAGCATGGAGGAGGAGGCGTTATGGTGTTGGGGTGCTTTGCTGGTGACACTGTCTGTGATTTATTTAGAATTCTTAACCAGCATGGCTACCACCGCATTCTGCAGCAATACGCCATCCCGTCTGGTTTGGGCTTAATGGGACTATCATTTGTTTTTCTATTTTACCAAGAAGGAGAGTGATGGAGTGCTGAATCAGATGACCTGGCCTCCACAATCCACCAACCTCAACCAAATTGAGATGGTTTGGGATGAGTCAGACCGCAGAGTGAAGGAAAAGCAGCCAACAAGTGCTCAGCATATGTGGGAACTCCTTCAAGACTGTTGGAAAAGCATTCCAGGTGAAGCTGGTTGAGAAAATGGCAAGAGTGTGCAAAGCTGTCATCAAGGCAAAGTGTGGCTATTTGAAGAATCTCAAATATAAAATGTATTTTGATTTGTTAACACTTTTTTGGTTACTACATGATTCCATATGTGTTATTTCATAGTTTTGATGTCTTCACTGTTATTCTACAATGTAGAAAATAGTAAAAATAAAGAAAAACCCTTGAATGAGTAGGTGTTCTAAAACTTTTGACTGGTAGTGTAAGTCCTTTACACCACTGGTAAGATGTGTGTCAGGTATGATAGACACTATTGATTGTTGTGGTTCTGGCGTGGGCCTGCATTTGAATTCCTACAGCTCTCTTCATGTACAGTCCTTCTCAACAGGACACGACTTGTTATTGTCCCTCTTCACAAGTAACTCAACCACATCCTGAGCTAGGGCACCACTTCTAAACTCTCTGCACCTGCAGGCACAGCCATCCACTGTGGCAACATCCTTGTTTGATACAATATTAATCTAACTGGAAAACCAGCAACCTTTCTGCACAGCCAGATATCCAGAGCGAATCCACAGTCTTTCTCCCACCGTCTCTTGACAGATACAGCTGGGACGCAGCAGGTTAGTAAAGAGAGGGAAGCAGCAGCAGCAGCAGATACAGTGGGGAAAAACATTATTTAGTCAGCCACCAATTGTGCAAGTTCTCCCACTTAAAAAGATGAGAGAGGCCTGTAATTTTCATCATATGTACACGTCAACTATGACAGACAAATTGAGAAAAAAAATCCAGAAAA